GAGTAGCAGCATTAAACCTTTGTTTAAAAGTAAAAAAAAAAACGTAACGTTCATAACCATTGAAAAAATCCTGAACTAAATATTGTTAAAATGACCTCAATTTGGCAACTCTTGTTAAATAACTACATTTTATTTTATTTTACAGAATTTATTTATTTGCAGCCTTGTTTTTTATTTATTTATTTTTTTACATTTTTAAAAGTCTTTTCTTTTTCTTTCTTTTTTTTTTTTTGCAGCCATTTCAGTCTAGTGGCAGAAAGGCCAAAATGATCTGATTATCAAATTTGCCAAAGTACAAAATGGACTAAATAAAAACATTTCCATAAATAACATTTGTAGAGTTACTTTGCTTTATTCATTTTACTCAAGTCCATTACTGTCTATTTTCATTATGCTTCAAATGGAAGCATAGTGAAATCTTAAGGGAATAGAGGTACTCAGACAATTCAAATAAATAACAAGTGCAAAAGATCAGAGCTTAGTGATCTAGATAATACCATGGTGGATGAGCATCTACTCTTGACCCTCATGCACCGCTCTGGCCCTGAGCAAGCTGGAGGCTTCACTTAATAATCTCTAATGCTGCTTATTGGCTTATTGTCGAGGAGAGATCCAGCCGGACAGGACAGAGCCCCATCAGAGTAGTCTAATGCTACCACACACGCGTAATGCAATCACAAGAAGATATAGCGGCAGAGAGGTGCATGGAAGCTGTGGTATGCATGCAAAAAGTGTGGATCCATTGATCCTTGAAAGGTTTGTAGTCCAATTTAATAAAAGATATGACTGATTCATCATCTGAGGTTGCTTTTCTTATCCTGATCAATATGGCTAGATGAAACACCCCTTGACTAAACAGCAAAGTTTTGCAGCTTTATTTTTCTCAAGAAACTTAACTGACTTGTAAAGTGATTGCCCATATGGCAAAAAACAAAATACATTTTCAATATATTTTTAAGTATATTTTAAAATATCCCATAATGGCCAAATATGTCATACAGTATATTGCTTATATATATTTTAAAATATTTTGCATAAATATTTGTTTCAATTTATTATTATTATTATTTTGTTATTTATATTTCATACTAAATTAGGTGCATCATACTATTTATTTATTTATTGTCCACCCTTGCCCATTTATTAAATATTTTCAATCAAGTAATATTTATATTGTCCAAAATATAAATTATATAAATGGCAAATTTATTTTTATGGTTGAAAATTTTATTTCTTCCCCTTTGAAGTACATTTTGTAACATATTTTGGCATACAGTTGTTAAATAAAATTTGTTCAATTTGAAAAAATTCTTAAAATACGCTGCTCGTGTCCTGATCCTGTCTTGTGACCATGATTAACAGGTGGCTGTGGAAGCATGTGACAGCAGCGCTGAAGGCCGGCGATATCGATGCGGCCACTGAACACAAACACCAGCTGGAGGAGAAACAGAGGAGAGAAGGGAAGCAGAGAACGGCCAGCAGCACCACCTGGAAACCCAAGTACTTCATTAAAGAGGTGAGGCTTTTGAGACTTGCAGTGTCAAAGCCTTCATTTGTGCATAAAAGTACCATTTTTCACTTTCCTAGAGATGTGCAAAACTACATTTGTTAATAATTGACTATTCAGCAGGTTGTCTGAAGGACTAGTCAAGTAATTGGTTTTAAGGAAGCCCTTAATATTTAGACGAGTTTCAGTTCTCCAGACCCCGATCAGATGTTTTTTTTATGAGGTGCTTACTTAAAGGGGTCATATGATGCGATTTCAAGTTTTCCTTTCTCTTTGGAGTGTTACAAGCTGTTCGTGAATAGATAAGATCCCTAAAGTTGCAAAGACTAAAGTCTCCGACGCGTTTCAGAAAGGCGGGGCATAGAGGAGAAACAATAATGTACAGTATGTGGAAAATAATGTTGTTGTTTTTTTACCTTAAACCGCATAAACACATTTCATTACACCAAATACACAAAATAATGTTTTTTTTAGCAATGTCATATGACCCCTTTAAGACACGTTCATATGTTCAAAAACAGCTAGACGACGCACAAATGGAGTAAAAAAAGAAAGCGGGGTCTCCGTTTTTAAAATGGCACCAAACTTAATACTAAACTCAACCATTCAAAAGTTTGGGGTTGTGAGATGTTTTCATGTGTTTGAAATAATTTGATCATAAATACAGTAAAAATAGTAATATTAAGAAATATTTTTATATTTTAAATATATAATTTTAATATTAAAATATACATTTTTTTTTTGTGGATTTTTTGATGAATAATAAAAAATAAAAAAAAGTATTTATTTGAAATATTTTTGTAACAATATAAAAGCCATTATTGTAAATAGACTTTTTATTCGGAAGTGTGAATTTCTGTACATGTATATAATTCAAATTCAGCATTTTCTGAAACATTATGCGTCATGTCAGCGTATTTGCAACGGGGCCGAATATTATTCATTTCCCTTCAATGTCATGCCTCTCTTGATTAGCTCCAGAGTCATGCAGGATATTGGTTCTCGTATCAGATCTAGCATGTCTAACATCTTGAATTGGCTGCAGGGGGATGGATGGGTGTACCACAATCCTCTGTGGAAGACAAAGTGATGAAGTCACGCTGGAGCCACATGATTTGGGTTTGTCACAGACCTCTAACCCCGCAGATGGGAGTGTCCATGTGAGCGAGGGGCTGGCTGACCAATGGGACTCAAGCAGCAGGGAAAGACAGTGATCCATTTTTCCAACTCGTCTTATGCAGAATGGAAGGTGCCAAAAACTAAAAATTAACTTGAGGGTGGTAAAAATACCTCAAAAGACCCTCTGGATGATGAAGATTGGACGTGGAGGCCTGAATTGTGTGACCTTGTGCAATATATTTGTATATTACGTCTGATAATCAATACCGAGTAAAGTGATTTTTCACACAGGAGAGATGTAGCATCTGTATCAGAGTATAACTGTTATTTTAGAACACCATAAAGGCAAATATTGATGCAAGCGGCATTGAGTATGTGAGTATGTATTCATGTTCAATAGAGCTCACCTCTCATGTTCTTATTTTATTTGAATGACTGAATCAATCTTACCATATGAGGACAGTATTGTGCTTCAGATGAGCTTCCTGAAGAAAGAATAAAATTGATATTTAATGAATAGATTTTAAAATGATGTGCAAATGTATTTTTCCCTCATGATGATTTAGTAAGGTCAGTGATACGCATGCATTTCAGTCACTTCACTTATCCATTAAAGGGGTCATATGATGCGATTTCAATTTTTCCTTTCTCTTTACAAGCTCTTGGTGCATAAAGAAGATCTGTAAAGTTGCAAAGACTAAAGTCTCAAATCCAAATAGATATTCTTTATAAAAGTTAAGAGTCAACTAGGCCTGTCGCAATAATCAATATATCGAGTTATCGCGCAATATATGTACATGACCTCAATAATTTTTTGTGACGCAATATATCGCCCATTATATTTACTTAAAAATTAATGTTACTATGTTTTGTACATTACACTTGAGCCTGTGTCTTTTGCAGCTTCTCGTACATAACGTGATGTAGTCAT